ACCGATCGTACTGGTCTTTCCATATTCGAATCACCCATCCATGTGCGGGTTGGAACTCCGCCGAGGCTGGTGAACTTTTCACAATCTCAATATAAGACTTCAATCCGTTTATTAAGTAGTCAGACCTTGTATCGAATAGGTTATTATGTGGGGGGCCAAATTTTCATCGAGGATAAGTGTAGATCATTGGTATACCATAAACTGGGAATAGTTTCCGGATTACGGTGCACCCTAAACGGGATAGACAAATAGAAGGCCGGTTATGTGACCGGCTGTGCGCCAGAAACAGCGTGAAACCGTAAACAGATCGGCAAAAAAATCCGAGGTGGTCTCCAAACTACAAAACCATCAGCCGCCGGACCAAAACTGGACGGTCGACTGCGGTTGCCAGAAGAAACGGTTGTTGGTGGAACCCAAGACCAAATTGTAAGAGGAAAAACCCTTATCGCATGACAAATCGTACAACACATACACGGAACCCTCTCCCTCCCTAAACACACACACACACCTCGTACAACCTTATTTGACTGAGATTGATACAGGCATGCACGCATGCACCTGAAGGAGTACTGTGGTAAACCGCACTGTTTCGTACAAACCCAAATATCCGTCCGCATAGGTATACACACACACATACGGAGAGATATTCCTTTTCAGAGTGGAACAGTCAATCAAGTCAGGGAAGTATCGCGGGCCGTGTGCGTGCGTTCTGACCACTGCGATTGTTTATCGCATCAGTATACGAGACATAATCTGACACCATACATAAATAACACACGTGCATATCAAACCAGAGTGGCCCAAATATTAACGATGGCATTACTACTGCTACTACTATTATTGTGATGTACTACTCACATTATACGTGAGTAGTATGTTTAGTGCACGCATGGATAGCAGTTGGCGGTGTGTACGATAATCAACAATGAATGAGTCATCCCTGATCGGATTAGTAGATTTAATATTGTTGCAACAGAAGATGCCAACAGATTGCTGAACAGGCTGACGACTAACCGGAGTTTTTCACGAAACCGTGAACTTTCTGTTTCAGATAATAAGTGTCATTCTTTTTCATCTTCCACCCATGTCGTGCATGCTATAAACAATTCCTCAGTTGGGTACTGGACTTGTGGATTTATAAAACTGCTACTGGCACTATTATCACCGCTAAGACTAATACCGCCAGTACGGTTAGTCGCGGGCAGAGTAGGTGCAAGAGATTTAGGGAAGTGAAAGAGTAAAGTTCTAAAAGAATGGAGTGGGGGAATGAAGGTGAAGATGACTGCGGTTTTAATCGTAGCCTGCCCGTCAAGACCAATAGGAGTAACGACAACAACCCTGATAGTAGCGATAATGTTTGTCATTTAGCACGGAAGAAAAGAATGAA